AAGAGTTCCGGAAGAAGTTCTTTCACGCAAGGAAAGCATACAGATTCATGCTCATCCAGAAGAGGGAAAGAGAGAGAGAGAGAAGCATCGGGACACATCATCATTCAAAGATAGAGGTAAAGGGGGAAGGTGAAGGGGGGGGGAGGGAGAGTCTAGATAGGAGATGACGCAACCCAAAAGAAGGAAGTTTGGAGAGAAAGGTCCGCAACAACAAAGGCGCATTCGCTGTTAATTCCAATACGGCCCCGGGCCAAGAACTCACTCAACTCCAATCATCAATCCTCATACCCGCACCGGCGATCCTGGCCGCCGCGTGCTAACTCCCACCACTGCGATCGTCACCTCGTTGTCGTAGACTCGACACGGTTCGCCCAGATCCCACAGTCCGGTGTGGCGATCCAGCGCGCAACCGGCCATCCTATCGTCAGCCCGACAGGACTTTCCGACTCGCATCAAACACTCTTCCTAGCCACTGCTTCTCGGAAGCTGGCTTGAGAGTCGAGAACGTAAGAGAGATTTGCGGACGCGCTTTCGGGTTTTATAGTTGCGACAGGGGAGATAGAAGGGGGAGAGAGCGACGGAAAAGCTGAGGTGTGAGAGGAGAAGCAGGAGGAGAAGACTTTGAGAAGAATGCTCTATGAACGCCATGTTGATCCCTCGAAACTCAAGGTTCAACCAATCAGATTCACAGCGCAATAGGAAGGTCCTATTGATCCACGCACCTGATTGGCGAGCGGGAGTTATTGATGGATCGACTGGGCGTCAGGCGCCAGACTCAGAGGGTGAGGGGAGAAAAAGGCACGAGAAGTAGCGCAAGACGGGTCCAAGATTCAGATCATCAAGAAAGGAAAAGGGGGGCGCATAGAGCAAGGCAGGAGAGGGAGAGAGAGAAAGAAAACAGTTACGAGGCGAGAGAAAGAGGAGGGAGAAGGGGAAAGGAGCGCGGGAGGGAGCGATGCGGGGGACAGAGAGGAGAAAGCTTGGCACGCGAGGTGCCGTCAACAAAAAGAGACGAAAAGGCATCGAAACAGTTACAGCCTAATCCAAAATTGAAATTACCATATCTGCGCGCGAAAGAGCGACACGGGAAAAGAAAAATCCTATGCCTATTCGTATTCGCACAAAATTCCGAGAGTTTTCCCCGACGCAACCAAGAACATTCACACACACGAAAAGGACACGTCGATGTTCCGCTTATCCCGGAATTCCTAACTGCCGAGCCCAATTCCCAGTGCGTTCGCTAAGGCGCACGTAATTTCCTATGTATTTTTCGAATTGCAGAAAGAAAAAGCAGAACCCGGGAGTCGAAAAAGCTTCCGAAAGATGGGGGCCAAAAACGCGGTACCCAAAATCAAGAAAACGAAACGGGGTTTTTATGGGGTTGGTATGATACAAGCAAAAAGGGGTATGAAAGATAACAGGGGTTTGGGAAGTGGTTCGTCACATATATGACGCCCAGCGGGTTCCAAAATTATGCGATCTCCTGATTGCATGTCATGGCGGAACAGAGTGATGCATGAGGAACCAAGCGTATCAACAACCGATCCAGCCAAAGTCCATGTTGACGCCAACTTCAATTGCAATAGTCTGATGCTGGAATCCTCGATGGTCGTCCAGGTGACGCCATCATGGACCGCTGGTTCTCCGTGTGCTCTGCACCCCAGCAGCCCAGCTTGTTACCGCCCGTCGAATCAGAGCGTGAGTTGACGTCATCGTCGATGGCGTGATCGTTGGGGAGCTTACTGATTCGTGCCGTTTTCCCCTGCTGATTGGATGAAGAGAGGAGAGGGAGAGAGGGGGGGGGAGGGTAGTGATATGATCAGGATCTACCTCCTAGTTGGAATGGGCAAATAGAGGCGGTACGTGGAGGGGATTTCTCGGGGTCGACGGGGAGGAAGTGGGGGTAGGAAGCGATTCATTCCTTCCATCGTCACCGAAAGCTCCTCATGTTGGATAATCCGGTGGAAGTAGGGGAAATGATCGCCGCTGCGAGGGAGGGAAGCAAGGTAGTCGCGATAGAAAGAGGAGAGGGTGCGAAAAAGCGCCGCTCGAAAGAACTCATAGTGGCGGCAGGCGGGGATTGTCCCCGTCGCAACGCAGTAAACCTCTACCACGTTGCATCGCTCCCATGCAGCGCTGAACAGCAGGAGATGCCAGCAGAACGTGGGGGCAGCGGATTGAAGGGAGGCGTGGGGGTGGACGGTGGCGAGTAGGCGGGTAGAATAGAAGTCGCGAAAGAGATGGGGAAGGAAGGGATGGGAAGGGAAGGTGACGGGGGTACGGATCTGCTCGAGGGTGAGGAAATCAAGGGGTCGGCGGGACAACGTTTGAGGACGAAGGCCTATTGCCCGCATCGGTACGTGGGCGAACTGGGGGACGGGTGGGGCTGGAGGAGGAGGGGGATGGCTCCGTCTCCGTCGTGTGGTACTGGAGGTGGCGTTTGCAGGGTCGCCATCTTCGGTCTTCGGCGGCTCTGGATCCCTGGTCAGATCGTTACCGATGCGCTGGCTAGCTTCGCTGGCGAACTCCAACTGGCGCTTCCCGGTGGCAATTTCTTCGCGCCTTCGCGCCACTTCCGGATTTTCCGCCTCCGTTCCTGTACGCATCGCTTCCTCCAGCAAGGCTTCCCACTCAGAACCAACTTTTTCTTCCTCCTCTTCTCCTTTGCTCAGCTCGCCCTCGCTATGTTCACTATAGCTTCCCTCCTCCGATGTTTCCTCGTCTTCGTCCTCTTCGCCGTCGTAGTCGATCACCAGTTCCTCTGCCCTCGGATAGAAGGCGCGCGGGATAATATCGTACGGCTTCAGATACTCCTGCCGCAATGGTAGCGTATCCTCGTCCCTAGGTTTCTCCAAGCACGCAGTCCACTGAAGGTACGGATCCAATGATCGCTTGAAAATGTACGGAGCAAGATTGTCGTCACTCTGTGAATAGATGTCGGGCGAGAGATCGTCTGCGAATTGCACGATCGGTGCGATGAGCTCCTGCGCAATCAGCTGGCGGCGCCCCGGCTGTACCGATTCAAAGAGAAAGCCAAGAAGATCGCCCTCCGCGTTAGTCCTCCAAGCTTGGATGATTAGTAGTTCCGGATTGTAGATCCACGCAGGATGCCCGCTGGTCTGTGTCCACGTCACCTGTACTCTGGTCTAAGCAGAAAGACAGCTCCTCAAAAGTTTTGCGCCACAGCCACCAATGTCCAGGATTGATAAGAGGGACCGAAAGAGGCTCGAACGAGAAGGAAAGAGAAGGATGAAGATCGGATTGCCAGAAGGTGGGGAAGAGAGAGGGGAGACCAAAGATGGAGAGAGAGGCAAGGAGATCGGCGTAGTTCATTGGGGATGTGGGAAGGGGACGAGGGTTGCGATCGCAACTGGCCGCTCGCGGGGTGATCGACGAATATTGTCAAGATCCGGTGTAAAGATCGGGATGAGGTTATACCCCTGTCGGGCGAGGACATGCTGCCACACGTTGGACACTTGCTCCGTCCACTCGCGCAGCGAGGTCAAGATCGCGGTATGCCACGGTGGATTGACCGAGCTGATGTCGCCGCTTAACGCAGCAACCGTGGTGACGTGGCTCGTTCTGGGGCTTGCTCGCCGATGAACTGCGGTTACCTCCGTGAATACTACTGCTTGAGGACTTCCTTCGATTCGAAACGCGGCGGCGGCACAGATACCTTCCTCGCAGAAGAATCACATCAAACGCCGGAGATCCGCATTGAGCCGAGGGTGACAAACTTGTCGAATCTCTGAGATGTGGCCACGTGGCTGTAACAGTTGTGCGTCAAAAACCCGCTCCGTGATAAAACTCATGGCGAGGTGAGAGAGGAGGACGAAGGACAAGAGGGAGAAAGAGGAGAGAGAGTTAGATCGTTGTCGTTCTCCTTGCTTTCCGAGGAAGAAGAGGGAGGGAGATCAGAAGGAGGAAGAAGACGGAGGTAGGAGGTATGCCGGACGATGGAGACAGAGCTATGGCTGGCACTAGCCTTAGGCGCGATGCGCACCGTGTTGGCGCCGTTGGGTCCGGGCTCGACAACGTGAAAACAACCAGAAAACTTGGGAGTGAGTTTTCGTTCACGTGCACATTTACGTACCTGCACTAGGTCCCCTAATTTATATTGATGCTGGGGCCCAGCATTTCCATTCCGAGCCTCGTAGCTACGGACCTGTGTATCGTGGGCTAGTTCGGTCATCCTTTGCCTTTTTCGGGCTAGCTTCGGAACAGCCCGTTCCATTAATTCGGTGTACCTTTTGGCCTTGGGCTTGAGAGCTGCACGCGTGTCTCTACCCCCTGCTTCAGCAATTTCCAAGTTACCCCGGTAGTCGACACAGGGGAGGCTATTAGTTCGAAGCCGAAAGGGGGTAAACCCCGTGGACTCGTGAGGAGTGCCCCGGTGGATCCCAACGATCTGATATACGATCTCGGGCCAAGGACGCGTGTCATGTGCCGCAAAGTTCCTGCGAAGGGCGGTCTTAATCATACAGGTGGCATTTTCGGCCAACCCGTTTGACTGGGACACGTGGGGTGCCGTATGTCGGAGCGTGACGCCTCTTCGCGCAAGCAGTTCTTCTACCTCACCCTTGAATTCGGACCCATTGTCGGTCAGAATTTCTTCCGTATCTAGATGGGTATAGAGGAACCGTTCGATGTACGTGGCTATCTCTGTGGCTTTTCGGGTCTTACAGGGATAGACTTCGATGTACTTGGAAAAATGATCTATTAATACTAGCAGGATAGAATATTCACAGCGGCTTGGGCCAGGTGGCACGTTGATATCTATCGTGTCCATACTGATTCGCTGGAAAGGATGCTCTACTTCCGTTGGTACGATCGTGTTTGGTCCCCGTATAGGGGCGCGATCAGCGGCACAGACCAGACAGTTAGCGACAATGTATTTGACATCATCTCGTATATTGGACCAGAACCATCAGTTCTGATTTACAGTTGCCTCCGTGACACATATTGCGAAATGAGCGGCCTGTTCTTCTTGAGCAGATCGGATCCAGTCATATCTCTGGAATGGATGGGGAACCGTCAACCACGAGCCCGATCCGTCAGTTTTACGTTTTTCCAAATGACCGTTGACCCATCGATAGTCCCGATATCTCTCGGTCGCCCTACGTCTATCGTGTTTGGTGAGGTGGCCCAGTGATAATCCCGCTAATTTTGCGAGTAAAATTTTATCTGTCCAAACCTACGCTCGTCGGTATTTTTCGTCATATTCAGGGCCGTCCGTACGGGCGTCCTAAAATCGAACCTTCGTGGGGAGCTTGTTCGTTCTACACAGGGGGCATCTCCATTCCTTGCTATTCGTCCGATATCGAACGCAGGCCCCGTGCGCACGATTGACACACGTGGCACATTCTACCCAGTCGACAAACCTGGTTTCGAAAGGATGGCAGTCGACCCCATAGACCCGTGCAATGCACGTGCAAAAATAACATAATTTATCGGGGAGGGTGATAAAGAAAGCTGAGGACGTGAGAGGGGCAAAATTAGTAGGAGATGAAGGGGTTGCGGAGGCAACTGGGGTAGTCACGATGACAGAGAAGGAAGGGATGCCGAGAGGGTAGAACATACCAATTAGTCCTCGTGACACTCATTGCTTCGATAAGATCTCCACTTGGCCGTACCGAGGTCCGATCTCCTGTTCGGGTTCATTCCACGAAATTACCTCCTCACTCTTCGGTACCTTCTCAGGCCGGTGCAGTCGTGTCAGTTCGTCCGCATTCCCATGTCTCTCGTGCTTCCGATGACGAATGTCAAAGTCCATGCTCTGCAGCACCGTTGCCCATCGCCCGATCATGCCAGAGTAATCCTTCGATTTCTTCAGAGCCAACAGGGGCTCATGATCAGTTACCAAGGTGAACTTTCGCCCGTACAGGTAAGCGCGAAAGTGGCTGATTCCCTAGAGAGCCGCGTAGCATTCCCCCGTTGGAGCGGTGTAGTTGCGCTTGCAAGCTGGCACCGATTTGGAGGCATACTCCACCACACTCTCGAGTCCGCTTGGTCCCACCTGGGCAAGGATCGCCAAAATTGCCTCTGGCTGCCAGTCAGTGATGAGAACAAAAGGCTTTTCGGGATCCTGTCTTATAAGGACCGGAGCCGAAATGAGAGCGGCCTTGAGTTTGGAAAACGCTTGATCACACTCCAGCATCCAGATCAACGGCTGATCTTTGCGCAGCAGATTCGTGAGGGGTCCCGCAATCGCCGCGAAGCCCTTGATAAATCTTCGGTAGTACGAGGCCAGGCCCAGAAAGGTGCGAACTTGCGTGATAGTTGTAGGCACCAGCACGTCCCTGACAGCTGCCACCTTTTGTGGCTTCGACTGGAGTCCCTTGTCCGTCACCACGTGCCCTAGGAAGGAAATGGTGGTGAGGAAAAACTGACACTTCTCAAGCACCACTTTGAAGCCCGCATCTCGTAACGCATACAATGCCGATTCGATGTGTTGCACGTGTCCCTCGTAGGAACTCGAATACACCAAGATACCCTCCATGTACACAATCACGCAGTAGTTGATGATGCTCTGTGCCAAACGAGTCTTTCTCACGAAATTCTAAAAAGCCATGTTCATGGCCCGATTAAAGGTCGCGGGGGCGTTGCAGATACCCATCGGACATCGAATCACTGCAACGTGCCTTCAAAAAGTACAAACGCTGTTTTCGGACGATCTTCTTTTCGAACAAGAAGATGATGGAACCCATGGCGAACATCAAACTTGCTGAAAAATTGAGCACTCCCAATCGCATCCAACAATTCATCAATCCGGGGGAGGGGGTACACATCTTTAATCGTGATATCATTCAACTTTCGATAATCAATGCAAATGCGAATCCCTCCGGCCTTTTTAGGCACGATTACTACGGGAAAAGACCAGGGACCTATAGCGGGTTCGATCCACCCATTAGCTTCGAATTCCTTAATCCTCTGAAAAGCAGCCGCTCTTTGAGCTGGCCAGTATCGGTAAGGAACGCAGCTAATCGGTGGATGGTCTCCCGTGAGAATGGCATGCTCGATCACATTAGTTAAGCCGATGTTATTATCGTGTATGCTCAATACTTCTGCGTAGCCGTTTAACACACAAATTAACGACTTTCGAAGTTCCGTGGGAACGTGACTCGGTAGGGTAATTGTTGATTCCCCGGAAATCTTAAGGGGCATATCGACCCAATGAACCGGCCGTTTCCGTCGATCATAGACACTAGAAAAAATGGAACTACTGGTGCGAATAGAGAACACAGTTGCTATCATCTGGGACTCAGCGGGGCTGATCATCTCCGTTTCTTTAGTTTCAGCATCAGTCTTTGAACCAACCGAGGTCGGTTCCACAGTTAGCCCCGTTAGATCCGTCATTTCTTGCATCACATCAGGTACGTCACTTACCGACACTTCCGCCTCTTGTTTAATCAAAGCAATGGTGACTCCTGTCGTTAGTAACGTTCTGGGCGGAAAAACAGAAACATCCAAATATTGTTCCGTTTGTTGATAACGCGTTCGTAAGGAGAGAGCTCCTTCGTACAAGGTGCGAGGGGGTTCCGAATCATCGACCAGGTCAGATACTTGTAATATAGGTTCCCCAAACAGGACTGAAGGACTAACTTGAGTTACCGGAGGCGCAAGCGCGCTGTCCCCTGAATCCACGTGGAAGCTTCGATTAGGGTCGGGGCACACTTGGAATTCTTCGGGAATTTCGTGTTCGAACAGTTCAACCAGGCGCTTCCATTCATCTTCGCTAGGAAGCTCTTCTTCGTATTCCTGTTCCCTGATTCCATCACTGATGTGCGAGGGAGAGCGCTCCTCGGGATCGATGCATCGAATCATCCCAATTTGGGCCGAGCTAGGGACCCGTTTTATCGTTCGGGTGGAGACTCGCAAGGGAACAGTTTGAGGTTTTCCCCCAGTTTGCGTGAGCACTAATTATTTCGAATCGAAATGCAGACGTGCGCCCACCGCCATCGCCCAAGGTAATCCCAACAACACAGAATAGGATCGTACACCTATTACGAGCGCGTTAACCAGGGTTATTGACCCCCGGACCCGGGGCCCCGGCGGGGGTCCCGGTCCCGGGGG